CAATAACACATGCTTGCGAATTTAAACTTTATAAAAGTTGATTTGGTTTTAATAACGTATTTTCCAAAATTCGGCTACGCAGATTCGAAAATAATATTCATTTTTTTCTATAACGTAAGGATACTTTACAAATCAGGAAGGCAAAAAAAAATTATGCGGCCTATTATCTGTTTATATACTAGCGGTGTGTTTCTCGTGGGTTCTAGAACAATCGATAAGACTCTCACGTCGCGATTGATCTAGAGAAATTTATATCCAGTAGCTGTCAACATTTTAAGCATAACAAAATGAGACCCGATTTCAATGAAAATGATTCTGTTATGTAAAAGTACATATGACGTTTTATGAAAAATCTGTACGTGATGGAGAAAAATAAATAGCATTTTCGGATTCAGCGTACAGAAATTACCGTAGAACATGTAAACATCTCAAGCCAATAAAACCATCGCAGGCCTGTGTCATCTACATTCAACAACTGTTGTATGACCAGCTAATAGGTGTACCTTTTTAAACGGTCACCAAAAACTGTGAAATATCAACAATATTTTTCCTGTTGCATATGTTTTACGAAAGATGAAACCTGTAATTTGGAGTTATTTAAAACCTGCGATAGAAACTAAATTCAAAGGTACGTTTCTGAGAGCATTGTGTGTTCTCATTACAAAAACAACCTACCCCAGAGACGTAGGCAAACTTCGTAACTGATATGTATGTAGTGATTGTTTGTCTTGGCATGTGATATTTCTTTCTTTGAAAATGGATTACTTTTAGGCCTAACATGCAAACTAAAATTCGCGAACTTTTCACCTCAACGGTTGCTAATCGAATTAGGAGAACTTATTAAATTTGATACTAAGTTTATGTAACATTATTATTGAAGTTGGAAAATTAGCGGTACAAGTTTCAATAACTAATAATTAAAACTCACAAATTAATACTGCAAGTATATTTATAATGAACATTAGCCAGAGGTCGGCACTTGAATCACGTGACATTTAGTTCATTATTTTTTGAAAGCGCTGAAACGTACGCTTGTCTTATGACTGCTGTAATTCTTTTTAGCTGTTTCTACAAACATTTTTTTATATTATACATTTTCCAATATTCAGTTTAACGAAAGGTTAATGTCGTTGAAACCCAGTAGATATGATATCGTATCTTATGTGAGAATTAAAATATTTTTATGCCAGTATTGTAAGTAACACGCACACTGTCTAAAGGCCATAAAAACTCAAGCATATAGTACTGTGTGATCGATTAGATCAGTTTAATGGGGAAGAATTTCAAGACGATTCAGTTTGGTCTGCATGAAACCATATAACGTTATCCTGGTTTATTACATGTGCTTTTCGCGAACTGTACTTTACTTCTAACATTTATAGTTTAACGTGTATTTTTCCAAGTTATATGAAAGCTGGTAAGGAACCACCTAGCGTGAAATCAGTGAAAAACAGGAGAGATCCGCCGCGGTACACGTACATAAATTAAAACATTTGACGTTTTTTATGTTCTCCAGCTTAGAATTATATGCCTTACTTGGTGAGGTATGACTCGCTAAAAACGTAATCATCCGCTTTCTCTCTTTCATTGTCGAGCTTAACTTTATATACAAAGCTTTGTAGCTTTTTTTTACTGTACAGATGCATATTAAACATTAAAACATTAAACATTTTTTTATTCACTTACAACAAAATACAAATGAAAAACCTGTAGCAACAAACGTACTTGTAGGTGAAAAGGGAATACATAAAAAGCAAACAATTGGTTATACAACATGTATCCTCTACAAAATCAATGTTATTGTTGTTGTTTGTAGTTAAGCACAAAGCTACACAATGGGTTATCTGTGCTCTGCCCACCACGTGTATCGAAACCCGGTTTCTAGCGTGGTAAGTCTGCAGACATACCGCTGTACCACTGGGGGGCTAAAGCACACGCTCAAATAACAAGCTATTATTAAAGATATATTGTTGAAATTAAGACACTGGGGGGGGGGGGGGATCAATGTTAAATAAACATATAATTTTTAATGGCTTCCGACTATCAAATAATGCTATTTAGTTTTATCCAAAATAATTTTAGTTTGATTATTACACTTACTTAGTATATGATATTTACAACTTAACTTTTTGTTCCATATTTTCACTCATCCACGAGTTATCGATAATTGGCCTATTGATTTTTTAAATAATGATATATGTAAATCTGTTAATCTTTGTTTCCTAACTATGAATTTCTTTTCTATTTTTGAATAGTTTTAAAAATCTAGCTATATTAATTACTTTATTTTTCAGTCTCTTACATAAAAATACCCAAATGTTTAATATGTTAATTTTATGGAACAATTGTTGAACTGAATCTTTATAATTCAGACCTAAAATTAATATCAGTGAGGTTTCTCTATGAATTAAAATGATACTGAAAACAAAAGCTATAAATATAGTAGAAAGTAGTTAATTCGACTACTATATACAAAACAATGGTTAAAACCATCATGCATGCTTTTCCTTTTTTTATCTCAAACAGTGGTGTTTAATATCATATACATAATTCTACTAATCTTTTTAAAAAGATGTTCTGTGATATGTGTGTGTCTCTTGAGGAAAGGATGATCGACTTACTCGTTTTCTCCGCTTTAAAAATTAAATGTTTTTTATGGCTGTTTTGTGTTACAAGATTGCACCAAGTTTGACAGAAAGTTTCTTAGTTAACGTACGTTGTTCCATTGTATATGCTTACGTGTGTGGATTGAAGCGCTGTTATACCATTGTATTTCTTTCGAACCAACATTTGTAAAATTGTATTTCTTCCATTCTTATCCTTTACAAAAGATTACTGAATATAACCCTAAAAATCGGTTTCAAACGAAGATCAAACTATTAATTTGTCAGATAATTTGGTTGAAATATGGATCTTTTCCCAATAATTAATCTTCATGAGGGTCAGCTTTAGAAACGTCAAAAAACCTTATTGGTTATTATTATTATTATTTTACTCTCACTCAAAATGTTAAAATCTCGTTTATAAAGGTTATTGTGAAGATAATCCCAAGATACGAGTAATTAACGTTAGGTTATTTCTTGTCTGTTGCCTGGCTTGATCACACGGCATAACTTAAGCCTTAGTTATTCATAAAAGGTCAAGATCTTTTTGAGATTAACTGCCATACGCCGTAAGAAAATAGTCGTAAGAAAATAGTCGTGTTTTCCTTATTGTCGAGTTCACTTAGTTAGTGTAAGTAGGTTCTGTAAGCTTCTTAAATTTGCATTTTTATTGACTCTTTGTGAAAGGATTACTTAATAATGCCGCGGACAGTGTTTTTGCCTTGGTTTCTTTTTTTTCCGGTTTTGAATAAACCGCTTTTTTTTATGATAAAAATGCTATTCGTGTCTCACGAGCCGTTATCATTTCACCGTAGTAACTAACGCTTCTCATTTTGTTTCGTGTATGATATATTTGTATAATACATATATATGTTTACTTCAGACCGAAACATACATTGTAATCCTGTTGTGTTGTATGATGCTGGCTTCTTCTGTTATTCAGCACGTTCACCTAGGTGTGGAATATATTTTATCATTTTTCCATACTTTTCTGTATAAATACGTTCCTGTTTTGTTCTCCTTGAAATATACATTCATATTATATAGTTGAGTTTTCTTGTCTGTACACGGAAAATGGCTTTCATAGAATGACATTTTTTTTTTGCGTGTTTTATAACTGTAATAGTAATAATTTACGTTGTTTTGTGACACTATTAAAATCGGCTAAAAGATACTTAAATGCGACAATTAAAGTTTTCATCTCCTGGAATTACGAAATTTGGCTTTTTCATGTTGACTTAAGTAGGAAATTGCCAAAGAGTGTATTGTTCTGGAATACGAAGAAAGAAAGTTTGAGTCAATAAGATATTGTTTGTGTGTATATATATCTGTGATGTTTATTTCATTACAATATGTCAATACCTTATCAATATTTCGTTTTTGGATCAGGCGCGACTTTTGCGTCAGCATGACGGGAAGGTTCATGGCTCATCCCGCTGCTGCAGAATCGTGCTCTGCACTTTGTGACCGTGCTGTAAAAGTGACTGTGAAATTTGGCAGGGGGTTGAGTGCTGTTGACCAGCTGCATTCAGTTTAGTCTATCAGTTCAAAATTTGGGAAGACTTTGCGCGGATAGCCTTTTATGTAGCCCTGCCCGAAACTACATATATAGACATGTTTGATCACAGTCCGTAGCACCCACCGCCTGAAGCGACTTCTCTTTATTGGTTAGCAGGATTTGGTGTATCTTCTTTAACGCATCCACGTCTCGCGTGGCGCAGATAGCCTTCGTGCTTTTCGCCATAACACCAGTATAATACGTTAACCACTAGTCCACACTATAACCCACATCGCTGGTGATGAGTAGCACTGTAGAAATAGATGTTTCCAGTACTGTTTACAACGAAGTCTGTTTATATAAAATGTATTATCTTATATATTTTAGATTATTTTTTGTAGAAGTTGTTGAGAAAAGAACAAAATGATATTTAAACTCTTTGTAGCAGTCTTAACTTTTAATTTTTAAGTCTTAATTGTTATATAGCGTTTGTATGACGAATACCCAATCAATGAAGTGTTGATTTTTATTAACCATTTAATCTAATTCTTATTCAGGGTTAATACGAAATTGTTTCTATTGATAAAGAACAGTGCAACCACAGGAGTGACGAATAACAACATATATATGTTAACGTTACTTTCGCAGTTTGCAGTTAATCAACTATGAGTAGAACCAAAAATAAATGTTTACTTTCTTCAATGGACGCCCTTAATTTAAATTAGCTTTTATATTTTGTTTTTCAAATCAGTGAAAATACTAGTTAATCCATATTGACACCTTTGTTTATCTTAGTGATTGTGTGACAAGTGGATTTATGTCGCGGTATTTCTAAGATCTTAACCGCACAAGAACTTTGATGGCACGAGTTGACTATTTGTTTTTCTTTCTGATCGTAGGGATTGGGGACAAGGCTAAAGTACAGCTACACTCACCCAAGACCCCAGAAGAACTTTTTATTGGGGGAGACATGGTCCTGCGGTGCAAGGCAGATGGAAACCCAGAAATCACGTATCAGTGGTTTCATAACGGTAACAGACTCTTTCGAAACGAACGTGTATCCTTCCGCAACAAACGTCTTCACATAAATAACTTGAATGTGGCAGATAACGGAATATTTTCCTGTCGAGGTGTCAACGATGCCGGAACAGTAGACAGCGCTGAAAATTTCCCCGTTATTCTCCAAAGTAAGATTGACTATTCAAGAGCCCAGAGATTCAAATCTATAAGATAATATAGTGTTTGTATCATTGGGATAGTTTCATAACTTGTGTTTTTCCAAGATAATGTTTACCATTTTATTAATTTTTTTTTTACCAAGATTCCAGTGTTTTGTCTTGAACAAAGATCGGCGTGGGGTACAAACGAGGAGCTAAATGTTTGAGGGCGCCAGATTTTTAAGGTTCAAAGTTAAATATTAATTTAAGAAAGTAATTGGAAAGAAATGCTTAAAATTTGCAATTGTAAATTTTAATTCTTGTTCAGTATTAATACCAAATAAAATTATTTTTACTGGTGACGAACTATACAACCTCGATAGTGAAGAATAACTATATATATATATATAATGAACGTTGCTAAAGATGGAATGTGTATATTCCGAAACATTCATTAGGTATGTTGCGATTCATCACTTCTGTGGTTGTATTGTTAATCATTCGACTACCTTGTCCGTATCATGAATCAGTTCGTACTAAATATTCGTCCAGTATTTCATTATGTGTAGAAAACAGACTTACGTAGTTCTCTTGTCCTCCCCATTGTTTGTCAGCTGTCCGGGAACTCGACTTGGGTAACCGCCATCTTCAAATAATGTGTCGTCACAAATCTCGGCTGTGCGGTGGGAATAATGGTCAATCCATAAAAAAAAAACCTTTACAATGAAACTTTCAAAATTTAGCACTTTGCTATTATTTCAAGAAACTTCTCTCAAATGTGAATTATTATTGGGATTACGGCCAAAAATATCACCAACAGTGGGAGTACTCAACTGACGTAAAATGCATTCTGTGTTCGTAGCCTGCTTTGATCAGAAGTTAATTTGAATTTAACCTCCACGAAGTCTACTGGAACGGTAATAACAGTGTTATCAATAATATAAATTCTTTACGCTATGAAACTTTTCTGTGACATTAATCGGTCGTTCATAAATTACATACAAAACAAACGCACACAGAAAGTGTAGTTGGTAGAACAAACAGTCCGTCCACACAGAGGACTAGGGTAGTGTGAATTTTCAAACAGTGACTGCTGCTAGTTTTTGTCCACCCCGGGGCGTCATTTAACCTTCGCCGGCCCTACTGGTTGAACAAATCAGTCAGAATCCAAACTGCCCGGTTCCCAAATTTTGTTTCCTGGACGCTCAAGTATTGTAAAATTGTTTTACCATATCCAGTTTATGAAGAATAGTAAGGGTATCAACCATTACTAGCCAGGTGGTTAGGGCGCTCGACTCGCAATCTGAGTGTCGCAGGCTCTAATCCCAGTCCCACCAAACATGCTCGCTCTTTCAGCCGTGGGGGCGTTATAAGGTTACGGTTAATCCCATTATTCGTTGGTAAAAGAGTAGCCCAAGAGTTGGCGGTGGGTGGTGATGACTAGCTGCCTTCCCTCTAGTCTTACACTGCTAAATTAGGGACAGCTAGCCCTCGTGTAGCCTTGCGCGAAATTCAAAATAATCCAAACCCAACCGTTACAAATCAAAACTAAACCTATCACTTATGGACTCACGCCGCTAAAAACTGGGTTTCTATATTCGCGGTGATCACAGTACGGTTAGCCCATCGTGTAGCTTTGCGCTTAACAACAAATAAACAGTTGTGGATTTTTCTCTTTGCGAGAAAGGATGGTATAGTTTGTTTGAAGTTAAGCACAAAGCTACACAATGGGCTGTGTGTGCTCTGCCCACCACGGGTATCGAAACCCGGTTTTTAGCGTTGTAAGTCTACAGACATGCCGGATGGCATAGTGTAATCTGAAATAGTGGTTCCAAACCGTTAGAGGTATACAGGTCTATACTATAGTATATGACCTGTAGATACGAAGTATGTAGACTGCAAATAACTCTACACGAGGTTGTAAAAACAACTTTGAAAAATATATAATTTTAATAATACGGTTATTTATTAAGGGTTATTAATTATATTTTCACTGGATGTTTCTGCCAACCCGCACTGATTCACGGATCAACGGTTGGGAACCACCGATCTATAATCAGTATTTCAATGACTAAAATACCAATGAACTCCAAGAATCCCACATGTTAAGTTTTGACATTTTTACTACCAGTTAGGATGAGTTGTTTACTTTTTTTTCAAGTGCCGCGTGACCACAATAAAACTTGATACATGCGGTGCGTCTAATGACCTAACCACGAGATTATCTTAATACATGCGGTGCGTCTAATGACTTACCACGAGATTATCTTGATACATGCGGTGAGTCTAATGACCTCACCACGAGATTATCTTGATTCATGCGGTGCGTCTAATGACTTACCACGAGATTATCTTGATACATGCGGTGCGTCTAATGACTTACCACGAGATTATCTTGATACATACGGTGCGTCTAATGACTTACCACGAGATTATCTTGATACATGCGATGCGTCTAATGACCTTACCACGAGATTATCTTGATTCATGCGGTGCGTCTAATGACTACCACGAGATTATCTTGATACATGCGGTGCGTCTAATGACTTACCACGAGATTATCTTGATACATGCGGTGCGTCTAATGACCTTACCACGAGATTATCTTGATACATGCGGTGCGTCTAATGACCTTACCACGAGATTATCTTGATACATGCGGTGCGTCTAATGACCTTACCACGAGATTATCTTGATTCATGCGGTGCGTCTAATGACTTACAACGAGATTATCTTGATACATGCGGTGCGTCTAATGGCTTACCACGATATTATCTTGATACATGCGGTGCGTCTAATGACCTTACCACGAGACTATCTTGATACATGCGGTGCGTCTAATGACCTTACCACGAGATTATCTTTATACATGCGGTGCGTCTAATGGCTTAGCACGAGATTATTTTGTGGAGTAACTCAAGCTATCGATTAGATAGTTTATTAGTCAGCGTGCAGATCATTTCGATAACAGAAGGGTCTGGCATGGTCAAATGGTTAACGTGTCAAATTATGGATCTGGGGGACCACAGTTTACGTTCCGTTGTCGCAAAATCACGCCCTGCAATTTGTGGCCATCAATGCGTTATAAGAGTAGCAGTCAAACCCCATTAAAGTAGCCCAAGAGTTGGCGTTGGGTGGTGTTTACTAGCTGTTTTCCCTCTAGTCTATCAGTTCAAAGGGACTCCTCTGTTAGGTGATTAGACAGAGCTGCTAAAATGTAGACATTTCAGAGGAGTTAAAAAAATATTATGTGCGTACATCGGTTCACACATCCTGCTTGTGCAGATTTTTGGTAGTTTCACTTGAAGCTACTGGTTAGCATACGAATATGACGAATGTTTTAAGTTTTGATGAAATTCTTTGTATTTTCAAGCTCGTTACAGTTCCTTTCAAAGAGTTAAACGTAATAAATCTAGTTTCTGATATAAGGTGTCATCTAATGGAGTAAACCACGTGGCTAATTGTTTTACTCTTATAGGTGAAAAGACGGCAAGGATAATAGAATTACCCCAAGACATCATCGTAAAGGATGGAGATTCTGGCATGTTTAACTGTGTTTATCGGAACGCCGCTGCTGTAGAATGGTACGCTCCTAAAGAAGACGTCCCTTTAAACAATGGTTCCAGGTAAATTTGTCTTCATTCATAAAATTAGTTGTATTTGGGATATAATACCTAACTGATTCAGATTTACTGTACTTTGTTTTTTTTTTGTTTGTTTGTTTGTTTAAGGAAAATTAGAAGGAGGAAAGGTTATACATTAATCACTAAAGAAAACGAAGGTAAATTAAAAATATCAAAAAGATTTGACAGAATTTCGTCCGCGTGACGAACAAGCTGGACTGATAAAGTTCATTGAAACCTTTCAGGCGAAATACAAGTTTTCACAGATGGATGTATTGCAGAAATTATATACAACTTGTTGGGAATATGCAAATGAACCATTTCATAACAAAAGAATTCGCCGAAACAGTTCTAGTCTTACAATTACAGCGATAATAAACAGACGTTAATTTTTTCAATATTTTGCTTGCTATAGGAGTAAAGTTGAACTGAATACTGTCAGTTCTTTTTTTATATTTTTTCTTTGTTAATAAAGACTATCAAATCATTTTGACAGAAATTAAACAACTCCATTTCTGTTTTAGATAACATTAAAACATTGATTGTTAATGTTTGTGCGAAGATCGGTTTGGATTTTCTTAACAGTACTTTCAACTTTGTTTACTGATTTCATTTTCATCTTTCTAATTCGTCCATATAACTGTGGTTGTTGAAGGATATATTCAGTTTTATTTCCAGAAGCAGAGTAACATTGATAATTGTAGGAGCAGAATAATTTTTAATATGCGGTAGTTCGACAAGTACAGTATCTTTAGAGAATTCTAGGAGCAGAGTAATATTAAATATGATAAATAAATCCGTAAGCAGAATTTTAGCAGTAAGTTAAGGAATGCATTACACTAATAACCTATGAATTAAGAAAAGATTAATAAAATAAACCAATTATAAATATTAGAAATAACTCCTTAAGTTAAGGAGAAAGATAATAAAACCATGAAAAATGACTCCATTTTCCACATCTATTTGTGATACTATTTGTAAGTATAGTCAATTGTAAGCTGTAAGAAAAATTTTAGAAAATCCTAAAAAACAGGATTGTACAAAACAAGGGTGCTCTTCCTTTATGAGAACGTTAATCTGATATTGGGTTGAACAAAACGGTTGTTCTTTAAAGATATATTAACCTGAAACTGAGTTGAAGAAAACAGGGGTGCTATTTGTAAATATGGTAGTCTAAAACTGGATTGAATAAAACAGGAGTGCTCTTTATCTGTACGTTAGCCTGAAACTCTGTAGTATGTTTGCTAGTTGGTTTGTTATGAATTTTTGCGCAAAGCTATACAAGGGCTGTATGTGCTATCCGTCCCTAATTTAACAGTGTAAGACTAGAAGTAAGGCAGCTAGTTATCACCACCCACCGCCAGCTCTCGGGCTACTCTTAATGCCATAACGTCACATCATAATGCCCCCACGGCTGAGGGGGATTCGAACCCGTGACCCTCAGAATGAGAGTCGAGCGCTCTAACCACCTGGCTATGCCGGGCCACGGTTGCTAGTCCTTGGTATTAAATAAATGTATCGCGTGTACGGGTTTTCATTGCACTGACGGTTCCTGCGTCCATCAGTTTAAGCACGATACATTTTCTTAGCTACATAAAACACAAAGTTAAAAGTCTATTTGTTATGCTTTAATTGAGTTTAGATCGAATTATATAACGCATTTCCAATACACTTAATACACCCAATTTTACTGCAGATATAAGTATGATGTACTGAAAATAGAAACCAATTAGCTAACGTGCCGTACTTTTCCTTAATGAATCTACTTGGTAAATTTTGATTTTATTCAATAGTCTGATAATAAAGCTTCAAAGGTTATAGCTGTTCTCAAAGTGTAATTTCATTTTATGCTATCTGATTAAGAAGATACTTTATCTTCTTGAAAAGGTTAATTATAGGTTTTACAGAAAAAATAGTTAATTTTTATTTGTTATGGTATTGTGGCAAAATTTTTACAAGCTAAATTAACTACTCAGAAATGTTATAATTGTCAATAATTATAATTTGGAACCTAGTTATTTGAATTATGTTTCACAACTTGCAACAAACGCACAAATTTTGTGGAAGCGTTTCTTCAGAAACCGCAATGATCGACAGTGTTAATCAAAAAGCTTCGTTTTAGTTTATAGTCCCTCAGTGGCACAGCAGTATATCTGTGGATTTCTACTGCTAGAAACCGGGTTTCGATGCCCGTGGTGGGCAAAGCACAGATAGCCCTTTGTGTAGCTTTGTGCTTAATAACAACTGTTTAGTTTATAAAAATCATCGATTCAAATTTTCTTCACCTCTATAGTTTAGTTAAGCTGTATGCCAATTTCCGTTGTTATTAACATTTTACCAAACTGTTTAATTTTTAACATTGTCATGTATTTTTACGGTGCACCTAAGATCCATGCCGTACTATTGTAACAGCCGCAGAAGCTTTTGAAATCTCATTCGGTCCCTTAACAGAAGATAAAATAAATACAACGATGATGCACAGTTCACTTTAAAACCATACGAGGTAATTATCAAGCTCGTTCAGCAGGGGGCTCACTTGAAACCATGTATGTGTCGGCATTGAGGCTGCCGCTGCAAACTAGTCCTTGTCCTATAGAAAAAAACCAGCGGTTCCAGAACATCGACCTCTTCAAGGACCTCTTTTTCATTTTACTAAGAAATCCGATCTAAGGAGATCTTTCACAATACAATCATTGTTGGCAGCTGTTGTGCTGGTTTTCTTTCATTCTCTCTCTCTTTTTCTATATTTATATCTAGATAAAATAAGAAAACACGTTTACTTACTTTCCTTAACTAGAAAAAGCCTTTATTCTAATCGTTTTCTTAAAATAATTGGACTGGGTGTGGCTCAATAGTTAGCGTGCCCAGTGTATGAATCAGATGGTTCACAACTCTCTTCCCGCTGGCACAGAAGAAACTGGTTTCGAACTTTCGGGTCGTGGGTGCAGTAGCTATCTTCCCTGTATTCAAACAGCTCAGATAGATAGCCCTTGTATGGCTTTGCGCGAAATTTAAACAAATTTTCCCAAGACTTTTTAACTTTATGTGTAATAATCGAAAGAATTACAAACATTCCCATTAATTTTTCTGTTCATATACTAATCTAAAAAACAATTCCGCGCTCACTTGATTGTTAATAGATGATGTCTCTTATTCAAAAGGAACAACATAAAGAGGATATTTTTAAGTTAAACGAACGCTGGTTCAAATAACAGTTGAAGAAGATGACAAAAAATTCCAACAAAAAAACAAAAACGTTTAGAAAAACAAATCGGTTAACAAAATCAGCGGTATGAGTACAAACTTCATCACTCTCAGAAGTCTTACTTATAGAAGATCGATATCTTTCAAAGAATGCATATTGTCAAATATTAACTTAACAACAGGGGTTTAGTGACTCCCAGGAGAGTCCTATACTTAGTGTCTATCAACGAGATTATAATTTGGGGCACAAAGAAAGAGAACAATGAGATTTTGAAAATGAACAGTTGTTAATATTTTCTTAGGACATAGCTACACAATGGGATATCTCCACTCTGTTTGCCACAGAGACTTTAACTTGGAATTTTAGCATTGTGTAAATTTACCGCTGCCCCATCGGGTGGGAGACAAGATCATACTAAAAAACAAATTCTTATCTTGAGAGTTTGAAAAGCATTTCGTCACGAAGAGGGTCATTTAAATCAGAGATCAAAACCAGTTAATGACCAAGAAATTTAACTTAAGTTAGGTTTAACCTTTACTCCTCACGAATTAACGAGGAAACATGTGTTAAAACTGTGTTTCTATGACGTCCATTTTGTTCAGTATTTTTATCTCTCAGGTTCTCTTTACTTTTGAACCCACAAAAGATGGAAATTCTTAACTAGATTATAGGTATAAAAATCATCGTCCAAAATCATTACAGTTAGTTTTGAAGACGTTACTGCAATGTGTGCTGTTGTTAGCTATGTTTCTGGTTTAAATGTTTGTATTGTTTTTGGCCAACGTGTGTCAGTGCGCATACGCCATTATCAATTTAGTCTGATGGCAGATAAATTGTATAATCATTCACAATAGACTTTTACCGTAAAAAGATAATCACAGTTTACTGTAATAACAAATTAGTATTAAAGTAAGATGAAAATTAAGAAAATAAATATAAAGGGTCTAGACCATGAAAATGTTCTTTTTTTTAATTTGATACTTATTCGAACATTTATTATACAATTATTTTATGTAAGTTTCTACATTCCACGAAGGAATTTTTATATAGCTCCTGAATAACTGGTCAAATTAGACGAATTAACTACTTTCGTTCAAGATTGAATTAAAACACATTAACGACTGCAATTTTTCGGTTACCACAACAATGACTACCAGTAAGTACATCACTGTAGTTGTGGGATAGGGGAGAGGACGTTGTCCTTGATTTGATATCGGTAAAATAGAAGATTCGACGACGTATTACATACTTAAGTGGTATGTTTGTTTGTTTTTTATTATTATTACATCTCGATCTCTCAGTGTTTACTAGATAGCTGTGGCACCTAAAATGTCGATTTTTATAGGTTAAAAAAATTAAACTGGTAAAGGGTTAACCTCTATGGCATTTCATTTTATCAAGTATCATAATATTTGTTGCTTCCTAGTTTAAGAGCGTATTTTATATAATCGCTGTTTATCAGGTTATATACTGGAATATTTTAAAACGTGACTATCAAACTTATTTTGTGCTATAATTAAACGCATGTCGAATTATTAAATTCGTAAATATTTAAAATAGTACAGAAAGACGTTAAGTTTGCCGTCTCAGCAATGCGGTCCTCACAAAAGTTCAATAGACTGAGAAGAATAACGCTACGTTTGAATACTATGATAAGCTGGTGTCATATAGTTATTATCACTTAATTCCTTTCCGTTCTTATTGGAGAACAGACACCGCATGTTTGTTAGAGGATAACACCTATTATCGAAATGGGCGTCTACGAAGTAATTGGCTATCCAAAGTCTACGAAAATGTGTCACTTTATAGCTTGCTTGTTAATTTTATCCTTGCAAAATCAACCCCGTGACACACGTCCCTCTATCAGTACTTGATACTTACGACCTAAGATAGAAAAGTACATGTATTGTTGAAATATTGACGGCCTTCTCGATTATTATCACATGATACTTCCGTGAAAATCGTGCCACTAGGATTAAAATTTTCAATATCATTTTCCACGTTAAGAGCTTATCGAGTGTTGCACATTTCTTTAGTTATTCAAACTAGACAACAGCCGTGTTGGGAATTATACACAAGGGCGCCTGTCTTTACAGTAAGTTGGGGGAGTGCATTTCCGTTTCCATAAGAGGGGAGAGTGAGCCTCTTACGAAGGTCTAGAGGCCGCCAATTACTATCATGTTTATCGTTTTCCGACTAGAAAATGATACGATTGTTGTAATAATTTAACAAATTTTGACGTATAGCTAGATGAATAGTATGGTAATTTTCTCATCTTCTTTCTTATTTATATATTTATTTACTTTAGCCAATTATGTAAAAAGAGAATCGTATTAGCTCTTTCGGACTAGCCCATTGTCTGAAATGAGGGGATACTCAGAGAACGTATTTTTATGCATGCTTATGGTTGCTTTCTTAACAGGAATAACGCAATTAGAATCCCATCTTTGAAAATTAGTTTGTAGCATAAAGCCATATTTAAAACAAATCACGTAATAAAAAAATGTTGTGTATTGTTCCCCACTCTGCGAAGCCTGGTTGGAAGGGACCTGTCCTCTCTACGATCATTGTCGTTAGTTGTACATCTTACCTTAGGGTTAATGAAATGTGAACTATACAATAAAAATGTTACCCAGGAGACTGGTATTACACATAACTAAATCTGAAGAAACGTACAGAATCGTTTGCTTTGATTGTGATATACTCTGTATGTATACACTAACGTTACTGATAAAGTCCCGATTTGAAATACACTGTACAATCAGATATCGAAAAAGAGGAATAGCTTTTTCATTATGCGTTGTCATGGTCTGGCTGTTGTGGTTTAAGCCTAAAATTATCGATGGGGGGGGGGGTGTCCCCATCAGTTTTTTAATTATTTTTTTAAAAGTATTTATGCACCAAATTGCTTGTATGAATTTCCTGCTTAAATTAGCCAACCATCCCTTATGAAATTTCCTTTGTAAAAGAAGCAGAAAGGATTAATTTTCTTATCGTTGTAATATATAAAAAGTACTGATATTTAATCTACATGATTCATTTGCGTTGTATCGTTTATCGAACTATGACCTTCCTTTTTTTCTGTGGAGATTTCATCAACAACGCAAAATAAAAAGTACTGATTTTTCTATAACTAGTTTCATCTATGAGAGAAAACTTTAATATAGCTAGCTATATCTCGAGCACGTGAGATTGCAACAGCGATCAACAAATTAGGCATAGCTGAAATTAGTCTGTAATTGCTTATGCGATGCAGCGTTCCCATGAGCGTATGCTTGAAAATATTTCCCAGATCATCCTTGTACTTGGTGTTGTGGTTCGGATCCACCGAAGTGAATCCTTACATAAATCTTTCCCAGTTATATATCTGTTACAGACTACACTTCGCAGGCTATTACTCCAGTATGATGAATTTTGGTGGGGAAAATCTATATAATCTAGCTTTCTCGCATCCACAAAGATGTATATCAATACATAATAGGCCACTTATAATTCCATGACACAAGATATTTCATTAATCATGCGATTGGTTTTAGAATCTAAAATTTTTCATCTGGATTCCCTTTCTTGTTTGATTATCTGTTGTTTCTCATTTTATTCATTATCTTCAAGTTCAAGTTGTTAAACATTATTTACTTTTATATGGATATTTACAGTTATGTTAGGCACGATTGTAAAAGTTGTGTGAGTCAAGGTTTCCCCAGTTTTTTTTTTTTTTTCTAACTTCTTATGCGTTTGATTCCAGCAGATGGTGATAAAGAGAGTTACAGTTTGAACGTTGTTGCACAACTTATAGTAATATTAATACTTCTAATAGTAATAAAAGTAATAGTAGATTAAAAGGTTGCTTTCATTGTTTTTTCTCATTTGGCTTGTGTGTCTGATATCTCTACTTTATATGGCTGGGCTCTTTTTGATAACTTCGCGTTTTTTCATATTGTATTTTTTTTTTTTTTTTTTTTTTTTTT